AGATCCGATCCCCCCACGTCGACACGCTCTCGCCGGCGCCCGCCCTGGTCGCGTAGCGCGGTCCGAGCGGAAGATGCGGAGGGGGGGAAGGAAGCGTAAAACAAAGCCACCCGGGAGGGAGAGAAACGGCAAACGGGCAGGGGAGCCGCACGAGGCGGACACCGAATTTAAAACCCGTGCGTCCCCAAACCGGAGGGGACTGCGGGGTGGGGGGGGGGTCTGCATTTAGGAGGACGAAGGCGCGCGCGCACCCGGGCGGGCCTGGGGCGGTGGCGCCTGCGAACCTCCAGCCGCGGGTCCCCCGAACCCCTGGGAAGGGGAACGGCGAGCCCGATCGATCGCAATAGCGACCCTCAGACAGGCGTAGCCCCGGGAGTGACCCGGGGCCGCAATGTGCGTTCGAAGTGTCGATGATCAATGTGTCCTGCAATTCACATTAGTTCTCGCAGCTGGCTGCGTTCTTCATCGACGCACGAGCCGAGTGATCCACCGCTAAGAGTAGTACCTCTCAGTTGCTTTTTTTTTCTCGGTCGAAAGGCCCAGAATATCAAAAACGGACAACACCACGGTTTTTCAAAGTGGAACGAGGTTCGGGACGGGCGCCCCTCCGGTCGTTCGCCCTTCCTAGCGCTTAGGAGGGGTCCCGGCCATTCGGGGGTCATCGAACCTCGCCCCCGCGCCCGCCCAAGCCCCCGTCCGTCCGTCGCCGGATGGAGCTCGCGTAACGCGGCAAGCAGTAGGTACCCGTCCCTGTGCCACGGCGCCAGGGGGGCGCACGCGGCGGTGAGAGTAGGAGACCGAGCCCGGAGGACCACAGGAGGAGGAGGAGGAGTGCGGCGGTACGGCTGCGAACGACACAGCAGGCCCCAAGCATCGGGGCTCGCGGCGCAGCATCCGCACCCGCCCGCCCGCACGCACGCACGCACGCACCATCCTCCGGCATCCAGCCGGACTTAGCAGCGGAGGGGGGAAAGCGGAACCGACACCGAGCCGAGGCCCGGCTCATCCACCTCCGTGCACCACCACGAGGGAGGAGGAGGAGGAGAAGAAGGGCGAGGCCTTTCGGCCCACCCTCGCATCCTTCCCTTCCCGGCTTTTGAAGGAGTCGGGAGGCGCGCCCTCGCCGGGGGGGCTACCCCGGAGATTTCCCTACGTTAATGATCCTTCCGCAGGTTCACCTACGGAAACCTTGTTACGACTTTTACTTCCTCTAGATAGTCAAGTTTGATCGACTTCTCGGCGCCAGGCCGAGGCCCCCCGGCGAGGGCGCCCCGACCACGGCCGATCCGAGGACCTCACTAAACCATCCGATCGGTAGTAGCGACGGGCGGTGTGTACAAAGGGCAGGGACTTAATCAATGCGAGCTTATGACTCGCGCTTACTGGGAATTCCTCGTTGATGGGGAAGAATTGCAATCCCCAATCCCAATCACGAACGGGGTTCCGCGGATTACCCGCGCCTGTCGGCGGAGGCGAGCGACCCGCTGATCCGTCCAGTGTGGCGCGCGTGCGGCCCCGGACATCTAAGGGCATCACAGACCTGTTATTGCTCCATCTCGTGCGGCTGAACGCCGCTTATCCCTCTAAGAAGTTGGGGGGAACGCCGACCGCGGGGGGCCGCGTAACTATTTAGCATGAGGGAGTCTCGTTCGTTATCGGAATTAACCAGACAAATCGCTCCACCAACTAAGAACGGCCATGCACCACCACCCACAGAATCGAGAAAGAGCTATCAATCTGTCAATCCTTTCCGTGTCCGGGCCGGGTGAGGTTTCCCGTGTTGAGTCAAATTAAGCCGCAGGCTCCACTCCTGGTGGTGCCCTTCCGTCAATTCCTTTAAGTTTCAGCTTTGCAACCATACTCCCCCCGGAACCCAAAGACTCGTGGTTTCCCGCAACGCTGCCCGGCGGGTCTTTGTTGTAACGCCGCCGGATCGCGGGTCGGCATGGTTTACGGTCGGAACTACGACGGTATCTGATCGTCTTCGAACCTCCGACTTTCGTTCTTGATTAATGAAAACATTCTTGGCAAATGCTTTCGCTTTCGCCCGTCTTGCGCCGGTCCAAGAATTTCACCTCTAGCGGCGCAATACGAATGCCCCCGGCCGTCCCTCTTAATCATGGCCCCGGTTCCGAGAAACCCATGGAAAATAGAACCGGAGTCCTATTCCATTATTCCTAGCTCAGGGTATTCAGGCGGCGCGTGGGCCTGCTTTGAGCACTCTAATTTATTCAAAGTAAACGCTCCGGGCCCCTGGCGCGGACAACCCAACCAAGGGCATCCGGGGGGCGCCGGCGGGCAGGGCGTGGGACGGGGCGTGTGGCTCGCCTCGCGGCGGACAGCCGGGCCCACTCCCGAGATCCAACTACGAGCTTTTTAACTGCAGCAACTTTAATATACGCTATTGGAGCTGGAATTACCGCGGCTGCTGGCACCAGACTTGCCCTCCAATGGGTCCTCGCCCATGGGTTTAGGATACGCTCATTCCGGTTACGGAGCCTCGAAAGAGACCCGTACCGTTATTTTTCGTCACTACCTCACCGCGTCGGTAATGGGTAATTTGCGCGCCTGCTGCCTTCCTTGGATGTGGTAGCCGTTTCTCAGGCTCCCTCTCCGGAATCGAACCCTGATTCCCCGTTACCCGTGGTCACCATGGTAGGCACATACACTGCCATCGAAAGTTGATAGGGCAGACGTTTGAATGAGACGTCGCCGCCGCGGAGGGCGCGCGATCGGCCCGAGGTTATCTAGAGTCGCCAAAGATGGGTTTTGGGTCTGATAAATGCACGCGTCCCGCTTGCTGCCACCCTCCCCCCCCGGGGGAGGAGAGGGCGGAGAGCGGTCGGCGCCCGTTTGCATGTATTAGCTCTGGAATTACCACAGTTATCCGAGTAACGTGTGGAGCGATCAAAGGAACCATAACTGATTTAATGAGCCATTCGCAGTTTCACTGTAACGCCCGTGTGTACTTAGACCTGCATGGCTTAATCTTTGAGACAAGCATATGTTACTGGCAGGATCAACCAGGTAGCGTGCGACCCCGTCGGGTTGGGGGGGGGGCTGCCGGCCGGCTGCGGCGCGGTGCTGCGAGAGAGTGGGGGGACAGGGCCAGCCGCCCCGGTTTTTAACTCAACGGCCGTGACGCGATGTCGCGCCGGCTTTATGAGGCAAAAAAACGATGGGGGGTTCCGGGTCGTCCACCGCCGGGCGAGGGAGAGGGAGAGGGAGAGGGAGAGGGAGAGGGGAGAGGGGGGGGGGAGGGGGAGGGGGAGGATTTCTTTGCGGAGGCGCTGAGGGGCGGGAGGCGCTGACGCTCTCGCGCCCGGGCAAGGTGTCGGATCGGCCCGTGCGTCCCAACCAGGGGGACGGGGGTTTGGGCTCGTCCGCGGGCGCTCGAACCAAAGCGTTAAGCCCTCACACAGCGGTGCACGAGAGGGGGTGGGACAGGCCAGCCGCCACGGTTAACCCCAACGGCCGTGACATAACGGATGTATGCCGGCTTTATGAGAAACCGAGGGGTTCCAGGTCGTCCACCATCGCCATCGGGGGTGCTGAGGCGGGATTAGCCACCGACCCGGGTAAACCCGAGAAGCCTCTCCATACTCGCAGCAGCAGCAGCAGCAGCAGCAGCAGCAGCCCCCGCACGGGTCGCGCCACACCAGCTTCCCCCCGTGGGGGGGCTGGGTGAGCGCGGCCGCTCTCGGAAGCTTGACGGTCGGATTCGGGTGCCCTTCCGACCCCGGAGACCGATTTAAACCAGGAAATGTTTGATTCACGGGAACGCCGGCTACGAGATGGGGAGCCCCCAACGGCGTGCGCCCCACCCCGCCTGCCACGTCCGTGCGATCGGACAAACTGAGCACGAATCAACACCGGCCTTCTGAGTCTCTCTCGGATAGGTTCGGGCGGGCTTCGACGTTCGTCGAAACCCCCCACCCTGGAGGCTGGCCCGCAAAGACGGGGAGGTACACACGCGCCCACAGTGGCCGTATCTAGCGCCGGACGGTGGCCTAACCCCTGGCGGGCCCGGTATGCCGTTCGATCGGACGGAGCACGGAGCACGAATCTCTCTCTCTCTCTCTCTCTCTCTCTCTCTCTCTCTCTCTCTCTCTCTCTCTCTCTCTCTCTCTCTCTCGTAGAGGGCCAAGCCCCACAACACCCAGGGGCTTCGCGAGGACTTGGCCCGTAAAGCTGACCGTCTTTCGGGTTCGTCCCACGGAGCTCTTGCGCTGCTGGAAGAACCGAGCCCCCCTCCACCGGGAAGGGACACTTGGCCGCCACGCCCACCATCTTTCGGGTTGTTTGCACGGGGTCCCCGCGGACCCCTGGAACCTCGCGCAGTTTTGGCTTTTTTTTTTTTGGGGGGGTTGGACTTCCAAGTCCATGAAAGTGCTTGGACCCCGACCAAAAACTCACGTCGCCACTGCTTCTCAGAATCCCGATGGCACCCCTCTGGATTTTCCACGCGCATCAGACCATCCAGACCGCGGTCGGATTTGAATCTGACCGAAAAACGGTGCACCTCGGGCGGATACGTGAGTAGGAACAAGACCCTGGACGAGCCACCTAGACGAATTTTATGGACGTGGTCTAGAAAATTTCGCCCTGTCACTGGGAGACCGTGAAAACTTGGGTGCCGAAAACAGCCGGCCGCTGGGAGACCGTAAAAACTTGAACGCCGAAAACAGCCGGCCGCTGGGAGACCGTAAAAACTTGGGCGCCGAACACACAGCCGGCCACTGGGAGACCATAAAAACTTGAACGCCGAAAACAGCCGGCCGCTGGGAGACCGTAAAAACTTGGGCGCCGAACACACAGCCGGCCGCTGGGAGACCGTAAAAACTTGGGCCCCCGAAAACAGCCGGCCGCTGGGAGACCTATGGACTTGGACGAATTTTCGGCCGTTTTTTCCAAGTTCCACGGCCCACAGATTGCACTTTTTTCAGCCCGGCACGGTGGCTCATGCGCCCTGGAGGTGCCACCTAGGCGAATTTTATGAA